GTGCGGCCGGGTGTCACGTGACCGGCGGGCAGGTACCCCGGTCGGGATGCATTTGGACTTCTGCAGTCTGCTCGGAGGCAGCGGTGAGGGGACTGGGTGGCCCGGGAAGCGAGGACAGTTCCCTTCCCGAGCAGTACGCCTTGTGGGGACAGCCGGAGAGTATCAGGGACCCTCAGGCGTCTTCCTGAACGAAAGTTGAGCCCTCGCTGGCTCGCTTTCCTCCGTCATAGTACTTAATAGGTGCTGAGAGCACACGGAATAACGGGACTTCGAATTGCTCATAATCTCGGACTAGGGCCGGGGAGGATGTGGCCCCCTGGTTCAAACCTACGTTTTTACGTTTCAGGCAGCACGGTTTAGAGGGATCGGTGATGTGAATTCCCCAAGATGACAGCTAAGTAGTAGAGAGCTGTGGCTACTAGGTGGAGGTTTCGTGGCTCCTGGTGCTGCTGCACGTGTTCTGTGGAGTTAGGCTTGTCTCTGTAGAGTGTAAGAGGCTTTAATACCTTACCCACTGAATGCTTAATAAAGCTGTGCCATAAATATTTGTGATGAATAAATGGTGCAAGTGTGAAGTTAATATTCTATTTTAAGTGACTGTATAAGAAAAAATTGTTAAAGATAGAACAAGCAAACCCTATAATGGATAAGTATTGGCAAATATTGTTTCAATTGAAACAAGTTTTGTCATCATTTTACATGCAGTAGCAAGCATTGTTTGGATTTTGAGAAAATTTATACACTTTGTTACTAGTGGCAGTTATTAAAGACATCGACTTTAAGCTTATGAAATCATACTTTGATACACTGTCTTGAAACTACATCTTGGTAAAAATGTGGAAGAGCAGTAGAAATGTTTATAGTAGTACTGAGTGTTAGTAAAGGGTTACAGTTGTTGGCTGGCTCTAGGTAGCCTTGTCCACCTTAAGTATTTTTAGGTGTTTATATTTTTTTTTGTTAACATATTTTACATATTTTAGTCCTTTATCAAAAACTACATTATCTAATGAAGCAATATGAAAGTATACATCCACAAATACTTTGTGGAAATTTTAAAGTTTGATTTTATTAATTACAAATTGGATTATTCAAGAATATTAATAGTATTATAGGTATTTGAAATCTTTATATATTTCACTTGTAACAGGCTTTACACAAACTTTCAATAAAAGTTGCTAACAGTGCTTGGGTTTGAGTTTTATTATAATCTGCAATATCTATCTCTTTTCAAGGATAAAATAGGCCAGAAATTTTGAAGAACATGTGAAAGGGCAGTTTTATATTTCCTTTTTCCCTTCCCGTTCTTTCATAAATTACTCCATAAACTGATTTTAGTTTGTCCTTTTATTTATGAAGCAATCTAAACAGCACCAAAAATTCATTCATTTAGCTTCCTCATCTTCAGAACAGTCTGAAATATACTGTTGCTTTAGAAAGTTAGCTTGTTTGACTGTGGTCACTATGCTGGACTAAAGGTAGGGAGTCCTGGTCACTTTTACTTTGTTTTGCTTCTCTAAAGTACATATAGTAATTTCTCTTCCCCCTCGACATGGGAACCATGCTCACTTTTTGAGATGACAGATTTGTAATACAGCCAGTGCTCTTTAACATGATCCCTCCATCCTTTCAATATGCTACTTAGAGGCACCAACAACTGTGAACTAGAACATCTTTGTTCATTTAATGTGTATTTGTAGCCACTGGTCCCAGGGGAGGTTGATAACATTTTAGTCCTGCACATCCTGTGTCAGCTTTCTTTTGCTCTTTCTTTTCTTGCTCATCAACACTGCCTTCCCTGCCTGGGAAGAGAATCTCCGTCATCAAAAGATAGCCCCTCATCACAAGATTGCTTAGCACTACTGGTATATAGCTGTATATGGTGTTAACCTTCTGGGTTGTAGAACTCTGGGAGGGAAGAAAGCAGCTATAATTCCTCTTTGGTAGACTACTCCACTCCCCCCACCCACAGTCTGCTCTTGTGCCTCTATTCAGACTACACACAGTGTGTTGTCTCTACTGTGGAACCTAAAGGGTCCTAGCTTCTCAGGACTTGGGCTGCCTTTCTTGTGTTCCCCTTCTATATTCGGATATCCAGACTGCAAGTATTCTGACAGCTGATCAGTATACATTGAATTTTGATCACCACCTTAAATTTAATAGCATGTTAGCATAGTAGTCTCTATTGTTTGGCGCAAAGTGAGCACTTAATGGTGTTAGCAGCAAACTACCCAACTCTGTGTTGAGCATTTGAATTGTTTCAGTCATATAATCCTGTTCACCTGAAAGGAAGGAGAAATTATAGAAGAGTCCCCAAGGTTAAGATTATTTGATAGACTAGCAAAACTGATGAGAACCTTCCAGAAGCCCCCATCCCTACACCATACTGCTCATGAATATATCACGTAAGACTTTAGAATTTTAAAAATATTAACCTGATTACATAGATTTATGCATTTCATACAGCTTATATCTTATCTGTATCTCAAGTGAGAAGCCTTTATTAGAAATGTGTGCAATTTAATAGATTGGATTTTAAGATTTGGGAAGTTGTAAGGCTAGGTCAGTGTGTGGGAGGTAGAATAGGAAGATTATGAGGGTCATAGGAAGTTTGGATCCAAATCTGAATTCAGAAAGGAAAATGGGGTCAGTTACATTTTCTCTTTGAGGCACGTACATCTCCAAGACCTCTTTTTCTTTTCTTCTAGCTTGTGTTCATGCCCTTTTCTGTTTGACTTATAAAACTGATGAGGACTTTTATTTATTTTTTTCTTTTGGTACTGGGAATTGAATTCAACCTTGCACTTGCTAGGCAGGCTTGGTGCCACTGAACTAAATCCCCAGCCCTTACATTTTTTAATCATCACATGACTAAACACTTTCAGAATCACTAAAGGATGTACGTGTTTTTGGCAAGGTAATCATTTCTTAGAATTCCATGCTAGCATTTGTGAATCATCAACAGTCTTGACAAGATTTGTCTCTTAGTCTATAGGTGCACTTGATTGCTGAGGAGTTCACACAATGGAATTGCCAAAGTGCCTAGAAACATGGTTTTCTTATTGTTAAGGCCAAGATGGAAATGGTCCTCTTTGAATAATATTGTGTATGTTGATATGTATTGCTAAAAATACTCTCTATTCATTTATTCAAGGTCTTAATTTCTCCGCGGAAAGAATGCAGATGATACACCTTTACCTCTATTTGACTAGTACGTTGTATTTTTCAACAGTCCTATTGGGAAATGTAAATGTTTTGCTTGTGGAAGAAAATTATTTTTTAGAGTTCCTGGAAGCCAGCTACATTTTGTTGTTGTTGTTGTTTTTGTTTGTTTCCCTCACATGCTTTTTTTCTTTTACTAGACGCAAAGACAATAGTGATAGCTAATCTTAAACTTTTTATATTAACATATCAGTTACTTCAAATTGCAATATAGGCAACCGTATGTTTTCTATTTTAAAATATGAAAAGGATCCTTTCATGGCACAGGACTTGCATCATTCTGGGTTTTTTTTTTTTGTTTTTTTTGTTGTTGTTGTTGTTTTTGTTTGTTTCCCTAACATGCTTTTTTTCTTTTACTAGACGCAAAGACAATAGTGATAGCTAATCTTAAACTTTTTATATTAACATATCAGTTACTTCAAATTGCAATATGCAACCGTATTACAGGGTCTCACTATGTAGTTGAGACTGACCTGGAACTCACTATGTAGCCCAGGCTGGTCTCGAACTCACAGCAATCCTCCTGCCTCAGCCTCCTGAGTGCTGGGATTACAGGTGTGCTCCACCACGCCCGGCTCCAACTCCAGTTTTTAATTAACCATATTTTACATTACATTACTTTCCTAAGGGAATCACATTTATTAATTACAGATGCTATATTCTTAGATTTATTTATTTTACAGTGTAGGAGATTGAACTCAGGGCCTTGAGCATGCTAAGCAACTGCTCTACTACTGAGCTACACTTCATTTTCTACTGTGTGTTTTAAAACACAATTTAAAGAATTGTTTATAATATGATTGTCATCAGCAATAATCCATGTAGCTATTAAGGCTCAATAAATGATGTCAGTAGATCCTGTAAATATCTACTATGCTGACTTCAGATTAATTTTACTAAGAGCTATATGTGGCTAGTGAGGCTCATAGCCAAGGGTGGAAGAATTTAATAGCCACCAATGATTGCTACAATGTGGTGTGCTAACTTAAACAGTCAAAGACCTTGTCAATTTCTAGCTTCATTATAAATAGAAACTTATTGAGGAATTAAGGTTGGGAAAAGACCTCTAAAATGTATCTCTTTCTGAAGTGTTGATAGCAACAAAGAGTCAATTTAATAATAACATGCCCCAAGCCCTTAGTTTAGGTCAAAGCTGCAGAATGAAACTTCAAAATCTCAATCTCAGCCTTCCCCCAGGCTAATGTATGTTTGTTGAGGTTGACTCATGGAGGTGTGCTGCATCATCTAGTATTCTAGGACCCAGAAAACATATCTCCATCCTGGGACAGTGGTTCTCATGGCAGAGAGAAAAGAGAGATGGTAGAACTAAGTGATAGCTTTTACAGATTTTGCTCAGAAGACACTTATATTATTTCCACTCATATTTTACTCACCAAAGCAAGTCATAAGGCCACATTGGCTACAATTGTGAGAGGGGTGAATATTTTTATAATATTGTAATGTGCCACAGTGCCTTCTTACATTTATTTTTTTCTTTTTTAAATTGTGGTTTAAAAAAACCCCATTTACCATTGGAAAATTTAAAAGCTCTGGCTTCTAAAAACAATTTGTTTTAGTATGTAGGGATTGAATTTTTCAAAGTAAAAATTTGATTAACGGTTATTTTGCTGTATTGTACTGTCCGAGGTTTCAGGCTTTTGGAAGTCTTCAGGTTTTTATATTTTAATGTAATTTGTATATGTAAAAATTGACTGGAAAATAAGAGATTTGTTTTCCAGCTGTTTATGTCAGTTTTAGACATACAGAAGATACCATCAGAATTCCTATGAACTTCAAACCCAGTTTCCTGTTGTAACATCTTATGTTAGTATGATATATTTGTTGCAATTAATGAACCAATATTGTTTGTTATTGTTAACTAATGTAGATACTATATTCAGCTTTTATTTATTTTGGGGCAGTTGAATAATGTTTTAGTTGTGACATTTGTCAGTGTGAAGTTCCATCTTTTTCATACCTTTAATTTATTAAGACTATGTTTTCTATGTTATATTATGCTCTGTAGCTAAGATTTAAAGGACAATTTCCCGTCACAGTGAAGAATTTTGACCTTTAAAGTTGTAAAGCCAGGCATGGTGGTGTATGCGGGCTGTCCCAGAACTGCTGAGTCTGAGTCAGGAGGGTCACTCTTAGTTCTAGGCCAGCCTGAACCAGAGTCTCATAGGGAGACATTGTCTCAAACAACAACAAAACCACTTTGACTTTCAGTGTAGAATTTATGATAGACGAGGATTGATTAAAGTCTAATTTTGTGGTTATTACCTATATCTTCTTGAGATTGGTGAAACTACATTTCTGTAATTCAGATGTCCTTCTAAACAGGAAAATTTATCTTTTGCTAAAAAAATTGTCTATTCAGAGTGAAAATTTTCTTTTATATTATTGGGGTTTCATATTTTCCAATCTTTTCACACTTTGGATAGATTGGCATTATTTACCTTTTTTTGTGTGTGTGGTTTTGGATTTTTTGAGACTGGGTCTTGCCATGTTCAGGCTGGCATTGAACTTGCTATGCATCCCATGCTGGCCTTGGACTGATGGCGATCCTTCTGCCTCAGTCTCTTGAGTGCTGAGATAACAGGTATGCACAACCACTCCTGGTCAGATGGTTCAGTTTTTAAAAATTTATTGAGATACAGTGTATCCTGGAGAATATCTTTGTGGATCTTCTGCTTAGTTGCTCTATGCATTATTGAAAGTGGGATATTGAAATCTGCAATTAATTTTGAACTGTTCCTTTAATTTTGCCCCTTTTTTGGGCTTCATATATGTAGGAGCTATGTTGTTTTATTTATATATATATATATTTTTTTCTATTTATTTTTAACCTAATTGTGTTTTTTTGAGCTAAGAGGGAGTCTTTTGTAGATTGGATTTCTATTTTAAGGCTGAATAATATTCCACTGCATGTACATTCTACTTTCTAAAAAAAAAAAGTTATCACCTCAAAGAGCTTGGACTGGAGGTTCCATTTGACCCAGCCATCCCTCTGTTGGGTATCTTTCCAAGAGAACTAAAAGAATCATATCACAGAGAAGTATGTGCACCCATGTTTATAGCGGCACAG